TGATGGCCTACGTCATCTATTGGAATAAATATCAACTATTCTCGTTGATTTTTAATTATTACAGAATTGGCCAAATACCCATTATCGATTGGGAGAAATCAAGAAAAGCTAACCACGGACGCGTTTCGGGCTGTTGGCCCTCATCAGTGTGGTACAAGCTGTACCTCAACGACCAAAAAACTGGTCATTCAGGCATCTTGAAAAATCATGAAACTGGTAGTTAAGGCCAGAATTGCGTTAGAACGCTACACAATGTGGAAAAAGTATATCATGCTATATAATCGTCTGAAGCAAATTTATAAAAATCGCGAAATCATAATTCGAAAGGTTTTTTATAAAGTTTTTATTATTTTTATCATATATCGCCTTATATATGATTTCACGTTTTTAATAAATTCAACAAAGTATTATAAATATATGCCAAAAGAACCTGACATATGTGAAATATTATATATTTAAGTTATACAAATAATTTGTTTATATATATTATGCCAATGTGTAATTGAGTATATTTAGAAAAGAATGCCTTTCTAAAATATAGACATCTTCTCGTTTATCTTAGAGTGTTCTCAAATAGCAAATTTTAAGTTAATCAATGATAATAAAATTCAAACTTATTTCACAAATTTAAGTAAATGACTATCATTTCCTATCATTTGTGAGATTAATTAATCTGTTGGGTTTCTTTTTCTCGTCCTTAAATTCCGAAATTACTTTTGATTAGTTTTTTCCTCTTTCTTTATATTGATTTATTAACATATGAAAACATTAAGACGCGAATGTTTCTTTTCACATATAAATCAGACTTCTACTGTCCTTACTGCGATGAAGAATATTAAAAGGGCTTGGCTCATCAGTGTTAAACCCTCCCAGCGGTTTCGCCAATTTAATATACTAGACCGCTTCTTTAGAGCTCTAATACTGTATTGGATTATATGTGGCAAAATGATCCAATACAGTATTAGAGCTCTAAAGAAGCGGTCTGGTAGATTAAATTGGCGAAACCGCTGGGAGAGTTTACCACTGATGAGCCAAGCCCTTTTAATATTTTTCATCGCAGTAAGGACAGTAGAAGTCTGATTTATATGTGAAAAGAAACATTCGCGTCTTAATGTGTTCATATGTTATATATAGATGGCGCGTTATTGCTTTGCATATAATGATTTATTGTTTACACATTGCCAATCTATATGAGGTTATGAGGATATTGGTATTTAAGAATAATCATTATGACATAATTGCATATTTCGACAAATTACAAAAAGGCATAAGACGGCGCAACTGTTTTTAATTACTTGATTTAAAGGAAGCCTTGAGGCATGATCTTCTTCAGTTTACTCTAAAACGTTAGTTAGCTGAAGAAGGAATTATCCGAAAGCTTCTTTAACTATGCAAATAAAATGAGTTGCGGTTTCTTATGCTTTTTTTTTGTAATTGAGATTATAGTTGCATCATGATGTATGTTTTTCTATTTTTTTTCGAATATATCTGTCATTATTGTCTCTAAAATTATTATAATATATAAGAAATATATAAACTATTATATGCACACACATATAAGTATATATACGGCTTACCAATTTATGTGGTGGTTAATTAACAACAATCCACATAAACATTTCTTGCAAAATCAAGTTTTCTTTGTTATCACTAAGGTTATACCTTGTTATTGTTATTATATTCAGACGACAAAAAAAAAAAGAACGAATCCAATTTAATAAAATATATAAATTAGATAATAAAAATTTGCATATTTGCAACAAACAAATATGAATTTTCAAAAGCAAATATTTAAGACAAGACAATTATTTATTTTAGACAAGAACAAACTATGAATGATAAACAAAAGATAGGCAATAAGGGAAGTTTACAGGGTAACAAAATATAAACATAAAAATTGATATTCTGTTAATAAAATAATAAATACTTTGCTTGAATAAAAATAAAAGGATTGTTTATTAACCAGAATTGATATATCAATAATAATAAAAAAAAGGTTATTAAAAATTCATATGCTAAACAAACCTATTAAAAAACCTCAATGAATAATTAAAACATAAAAAAGTAATAATTAGTCAGAATTTATTATACGCAGACGATCTTTAGAATGACAGATATCTTCTGTAGAATATTGGTTTAAAAGTTCTCAAGAAAAGAAATAAATATATTGGTTTTTCTCTATCTAAAATTGCCATTTTCTTTTTTCTACTATTCTTTTCTTCAATTGCTTCAAAAATTTAATAAATAATATCTATTTCAAAAGAAGAGAATTTTAAGTCTATATTATCTTTAATTGTTTGTGACGCTGTTAAATTGGATTTTATTTTACGAATTTTCCATTTTTTGTAGTTTTTAAAAAGTTATTATATAAAAATCAATACTAATTAATATTTGAATTAATAAATACTGATATTGAATATTTGGTAATAACACTTTTTTATTTAAAAATGAATTTTAAAAACTAATATTTTTCATTTTTTAATCCTTATGTAATTAATTCGTCACATGTTTTATTGTCAAGAGAAGTGTAAGGTAGGACCTGTTGTAGATAAACGATAAAAAAACTTTGACTTGTGCTTAATTAATAGGTATAAAATCTTACTTTTGATAAATAATCTTTAAGATAATAAACTTAGTGATAATAAAACTTATAGATAAAAAAACGTGTTGGTAATCAAACTTATAGATTATAAAACTTGTTGGTATTCAAACTTTTATATAAAAAACTTAGATGTAATAAAACTTATCGGTGAATAAAAACACTATTTATAAACCTTTTGGTAGAAAAACTTGCTTAAATATATGTTTAAAATAGTGTGAATGGATAATTTAAGATTGACATTGGATTAAATTTAGGTATTTTAATTAAAACATAAGGATTAAATATAAAAAAGTTCGACGCGCGTTTAAATGGCGTCGCTTCCCTTCTTGGTAAAAGTTCTTTCTGCTTCTTTTTTCCGACGCGCATGCGCACCACCTCTGATTCTTCGTCATCAACTACTTAGGTGCACCACTTCTCACCGGCGGTGGCGCCGCCAGGGGAGCTTAGCTAGATTTGGTCAATCTAACCTCTACAGGACCATTATATTATTTTTCTGCAAATTCAGGAGAACAGCACAGTCAAAAGGATTGAGATGATTCCAATTTAAGGAAAGATTGATGTTATTTTCCACGTTCTGTAGATTAATGTCTACCTCGGTTTACCAATCAAGAACAGAGGTCGGCAAACCGCGAGCCACATCGGCTCTTTATATAGTTTCATACGTAAATATTATTTATGTGAGTACTATTTATTGTTGGCAAGGAAAGAATTGTGGCTCTTTAAAAACTTTGAAATTTTGTAAATGGTAAATTTTGACTCTTCCGACTCAAAGGTTTACCAACCCCTGATCTAGGAGAATCATGTATGGGACGAGAGTCTCTAATTAAACCTTGTTGTTTTTTATTCTTCTTAAGAAAGATTAAGCCCCTAACGAAGTTAGGCGTATATAGCCTATTGATATATTAACATTATTTTAATAAATAAAATGTTTTATTTTATTTTAAATCTAAAATAAGACTTTCAATTAATAATTTCATATGGATTGCTCAATATATATATATATTATATTTAATAAATATATGAGATTTTCTGCGTTATTTTATCTTGAGGATTATGCTATGGTAATGCAGTCGTGAGAATAATAATAAAAATGGTTTTGATCAGTATTTGCTTTAATTGAACTAAAGGAATATATGAAAGAACATAATTTGGTAAAAGTACAGCCTGGATTAAGGCGTAAGAATAAAAAAATGAAAAACCTATTTACATAATGTACAAAAGATTTGAGCCGGCCATCGGGGAACAACAACAAAGAGTTTTTATAGGGAAAGCGTTACCTCTGGTGGTCGATTTAGCAGAGTATTTTATCTATGAAATATATTTGAAAAACATATTTTATATAACATATATATATACATATATATATTATGATATATATGTGTATATATATATTTAAATATCTTTTATCGCGTTTTTATAGAATATTTGAAAGAATTCTGTTTATATATATTGATTTTTCTATCTTTACTTGCATTATTTATTTTAACCTCAGAGGGTTGGTAGAGGAGTAGTGCCTAAATTCCTCAGACTCCTTAAAAAAAGGGACGACCGACGACATCAAATACTTTTCATGAGTGTAGTCTGTTTTGAATATCTTTTATAACGTTTTTATAGAAGATTAAAAATATTTCTGTTGTTTATATTGATATTTCTATATTTGTTTGGATTATTTTTTAAACTCAGAGGATTGGTAGAGGAGTAGTACTTAAAATTGCCTCTGTCTCCTTAAAAAAAAGAGAGACCGACGACATCAAATACTTTCTATCAGTGTAGTCTGTTTTGAATATCTTTTATAGCCTTTATATAGAAGATTATAACGATTTCTATTGGTATTAATATATCTATCTTTTTTTGGATTATTTATTTTTAAACTTAGAGGGTTGGTGGAGATGTAGTGCCTAAAATTGCCTCTTTCTCCTTAAAAAAAGAGACGACCGACGACATCAGAGACTTTCCATGAGTCTAGTTTGTGTCCTAATGATTGTGGTGTGTTGACAGTGGTGGTGTCACCCTATGGAGTCGAGGTGTACGACGACTTTGTCATCGCTGGTAACACCGGTGTCCTGCGGTGTACTGTACCCAGTATGGTACGGGAGTACGTTGAAGTCACGGCTTGGCTGCACGCACCAGATGGGACGCCTCTGATAGCTGGTATGTCACGCCTTTGTCTGTTATTGAATTGATATTTGAATACAATTACAAAAATTATAAATATTTATTTTATCAGAAATTTAAACAATTTTTAACGCGTAAGATTCATATTTTTTTATTTATTTATCCCTAGTATTCATGGTGGGTAGAAGAAAACGACTGTTTTTTACTGTAAGTACACCACATGTCTACACATGTGAGAAGCAGTTCGACTTTGCATTTATAAATATGGCAGAGCTCCGGAAGAAGCCTATAGCTGCATTCGGTGTTTCTAGATGGTCACCCCCCCCAACTACTGACCAGGCCAGACATTGCTTAACTTCGGTGATCAAACGAGAACTGGTGTTTTCAGCGTGGTATGGCCGTAGGTTTTATATATATATTTGAATATATCAATTATCTACTCACTTCACTGCCATGATAAATAATCACTATAAAAGAAAGCCGAAAAGTGGAATATTACAGCGATATAGTAGATTAAACTGGCGAAACCGCTGTGAGGGTTCACCACTGATGAGTCAGGCCCTCTCATTATTTTATTATTACAGTAAGGGCAGTAGAAAATTGATTCCTTTTAAAAATAATTTTAGGAGTCAAACTAGTTCGAATTTCTAATAACAGATGGCGCGCTAATGCATTCATATTAAATATTTCTTTACAATTAGATTACTATTATTGATATGCAAATTGTACTCTAATAGGATATATAAACTTTGCATATTGTGCCTCATAGTTGCATAAAAGCCTGTTGAAAAGGAAAATATAACGAAAGCTTTATTTCTAGCTGATAATAATAAAAAGACAAACATAGCACAATATTTATTTACAATTTTATTTATAAAACAGAAGATAAATTCTAGATAAATAATATGCATATTGGGCCTCATATTTGCATAAAAGCATGTTGAAGATGAATACAACGAAAGCTTTATTTCTAGCTGATAATAATAACAAGACACACATAGCACAATATTTATTTACAATTTTATTTATAAAATTTAAGATGAATTCTGGATAAATAATATGCATATTGTACCTCATAGTCGCATAAAAGCATGTTGAAGATGAATACAACGAAAGCTTTATATCTCGCTGTTAATAATAAAAGATACACATTGTACAATATTTATTTACAATTATATTTATAAAATAGAAGATGAATTCTAGATAAATAATATACATATTGTGCCTCATAGTTGCATAAAAGCATGTTGAAGATGAATACAACGAAAGCTTTATTTATCGCTGTTAATAATAAAAATACACATTGCAATATTTATTTACAATTTTATTTATAAAATAGAAGATAAATTCTAGATAAATAATGAAAACTATAGAATTAACAAGAGAATTGATGTTCGAATTTATGTGTTTAAAAATTATAATTGAAATATTTAGAGAGAATCTTAAAATATCAATATTAATTTTGTTTTTATTAAATATTTTCTGATATAAAATATTATCTTATTATCTTTACATATTTATTTAAATATTGAGATATTCTGTGAATAGATTACTTTGTATAATTGAAATCTAATCCCAGACGAGGATCAAGAAATATGGAATAAGAATATATTTCAATCCCCTATATTGATATGTTCATCTGGATATATGTATACTCTATATGTATTTATTCTTATTATTATTATTGGATGCTTCTCCTATATATTCTACATATTATATATCATATAGCTAAAATTGTTATATATGTGGTATGATGCACTAGCGCGCCATCTGTTATCAAAATTTGAAACTATTTTAAAGGCTTAAGATTCTTTTTGAAATTATATATTTATAATTGTATGTAATTCTACTGTTCTTAAAGCTTATGTCCATAGTTTATCTACAATACCTTTTCCAAGAGTCTACCAACAGTATCACTATAAAAAGAAGTTCCAAAAATGCAATCTAACAGCGGTATGGTAGATTAAACTGGCGAAACCGCTGGGAGGGTTCACCACTGATGAAACAGGCCCTCCCATTAATATTTTTCAAGATTCAAAAAGAATCTTACGCCTTTAAAATAGTTTCGAATATATGTGGTATCTTCATTATTAAAAATACATGTTATTTATTATAATGGTTATATTAATATATATAAGTAAAAATGAGAGATACAATGTATGACATATATATATATATATATATATATATATATATATATATATATAACAAATGAAAACATTAAGACTCGAATGTTTATTTTCACAAATAAATCAAACTTCTACTGTCTTTACTGCAATGGAAACATATTAGGAGGGCTTGGCTCATCAGTGTTGAACCCTTCTAACAGTTTCGTCAATTTAATCTACCAGATCGTTTCTTTTAGAGCTCTAATACTGTATTAGATCATTCTGCTTATATATGCTACATTGAAGGGTGGAATCTCAGAAATGGTATTTAAGTAAACTATGGACATAAGCTTATAGGACAGTAGAATTATATTCAAATATTTGCATTGAGTAATGTTCTTCCACAAACAATAAGGACAAGGCCTGTTAGGTATAAATTAATACAAGGTAATAACGCGCCATCTATAAAATACAAATGAAAACACCAAAACTCGAATGTTTCTTTTCACAAATAAATCAAACTTCTACTGTCCTTACTGCGATGAAAATATATATTGGGAGGGCTTGGCTCATCAGTGGTGAGTATTAGAGCTCTAAAGAAGCGGTCTGGTAGAATAAATTGGCGAAACCGCTGGGAGGGTTCACCACTGATGAGCCAAGCACTCTCAATATATATTTTCATCGCAGTGAGCACAGTAGAAGTTTGATTTATTTGTGATAAGAAAGAAATCGAGTTTCGTTGTTTTAATTTGTATTATATGGCGCGTTATTGCTATGCATAGGAAAGTAAAATTATATTTAAATATTTGCATTGAGGAATGTTTTTCCGCAAACAATAAGGACATGGCCAGTTAGGTATAAATTAATACAAGGCAATAACACGCCTTATATACTTGCGCCAATCAAGGAGAAAAGTTTATTTACATAAGTTATTTACATTATTCAACGCATGAAAACATTAGAGATCCAGATTTTGTAGAAAGTTTAGAATGTATTTACAAAATGAATTGAACTTTAAATATGATTTTTTTTTCGGAAATCAAATCGTTAAGTTCACAAACAACTTATTCATTCTTCATTCTATAATCTTGAAATGCTGGGCAATCGATCAGTAGATGTCTTGAGGTTTGTTCCTCAATACCACAAAAGCAACTTGAATCCTATATACGTATATTATAAATAAAAAGGTGAGATTTCTGTTGATTTTGGATTTATTTTTAAGATTGAGATTATGATCTTGAGATTTGATATATTTTGGAATACATTAGGATTAAGTCAATGGTATTGGTATGCAGTGGTGGAAAAGATTATAATAAAATGAAGATTTATTCCCAATTTGCTTTAATTGTGATAATAAAGCATACATAAAAACATAATTTGATAAAAGTACTGCCTGGCTTAAGGCGAGTAGAATAAGGAAAACAAAAGATTATTTACATAATGTACAAAAATTTGAGTCGGCGATAGGGAAACAACAACAATGAGTTTTTATAGGGGAAGCGTGACCTCTGGCGGTCGATTTAGCAGAGTATTTGAACCTATGAAATATAATTTTAAATAAAGTAATATTTTAATATAAAAAAAATATATATAGAAGCATAGGATGTCTCTCCCGTCAAAATAAACGTCAAAACCTGACGCCATCTATTGACCGTCGCCGCAACTAGCGGCTTCGGGTCGGTGACAAAGCTACAACACCAGCTTTGGCAAACTGAGAAGCGTCCACCTAGAGACCATGGTTTCGGGCTAATGGCCCTCGTCAGTCTAGGGCGGACTATAAACCATGGTCTCTAGGTGGACGCTTCTCAGTTTTCTAAAGCTGGTGTTGTGGCTTTGTCACCGACTCGAGGCCGCTAGTTGCGGCGACGGTCAATAGATGGCGTCAGGTTTTGGCGTTTATTTTGACGGGAGAGGCGTCCTATGCTTCTATGGATCAATTTCCTCCCGTAAAATTTCACATCTATATATATGTTATGAATAATTTTTGTTGTTGTTAGGTATAAGGGTTGATAAGACAAAGGACCGATAAGATAAAGGGTTGAGGTGCAGTCGTGATAAGAAAAAGATAATTATTTACCGTCAAGTAGCTTTTATTTTCAATTACTTGAGGAAAGATCACACATTAGTTATTTTCACATTATATAGAATTTATAATGTTAATCCTATATTAGTGATTTAAAAAGATATATATGTTAACTACGCATATTTACAACAAAACTATACAACAAAACTGAAAGTCTTTCTAAAAACGATGATAACAAAAGTAAAATTATCATTGAATGAAATAAAATATGTATTTTTAAAATATAGGAATATTTGAGTTTTTAGATTATATAATATATATACAGGGTGATCCAAAAGTCCCGCACAACTTTAAAAATTAATAACTCCGCGAATATTTGCGCTAGAGCAATGCGGTAAACACCATTGTGTTCAGGATTCAATGGGATTTTTTATGGCAAATAATGAAAAATTCGAAATTGATTTTAGTTACAACTTTATTCGCTAGATGGCGCTCTACCAGAATCAGAGATTCAGCGGCCAAATTGTTTGATAAATTGAAAAATATAACTGAACGACACGTATTTTTCATTTTTGAATACCAGGAAAGAACCCTAATAATATCAAATGATAAATTAATAAAACACCATTTCGCCAAAAGTTAGAAGAATTGGTTGACGATTTTTAAATACAATCTGAGATATGTAAAATAGGTATATGCAAATTAAAACATGTATCAAAAAATATTTATATTTTAGATGGAGTTTTGTGAAATAAATTGAATGTTTGAAAATAACTACTGATATCAATACACGATTTTTGAAATGTTAATATAGTACCAAAAATTATGATGGCACTACTAATAGGATTTCGTGCTATAAGGAATGTATAGTTTCTTGACTAATTGTCGACACTTGACTATTTAACTGGATATTTGTCATGATCCAAAAATGAAATATAGAGGGGAGTGACAAAATATATTTGTCGTACTTTATTCCAAATATCCTATGGGTTTGTCAAATGTTATCATTGCTTATTATACTGTACATAATTTTGAAAATGTATCCCCTAAAAAAAAAATCATTTTTAAATCGACCTTTTGCGTTGAAAAACGTGGTAGTAAAATCATTTTGTATTATTTTTTGCGCAAAATATCTAAATTTGGGGGAGATAAGAGAGATTATTCCTTATGCTATTTCTTCTAATGAGCGAAAAGCGATAAACTAAACATAAGGGGTAAAATTGTGTATACCAGTGTTATTCGAGAAGTTATAACACTTTGGCCTGCACGAC